GGTTTCATAAAGCATGGATTTCATGGTACAACTGATGCTATCAAGTTTATTATTTGCACTTTGATCTTTAATTCAGTGTTTTGAGTTCAACACTGCTATGGCATGCTTTAATTTACTCCATTTTTTAAAAAAAACCCACCTCTGATTAGTCACATATTATGCTAAACTATAAACTCACATTTACAAGCCACAATGAGGTTTTTATATTGCATTAAGCCAAAACCCATACCAAGCATATGCCTTGGTATGTTCTGTGAACCCTTTCCTTACTCAGTTTTCTATTAATTTCTACAACTCTATAGTAAACTTTCATAAATATTTAATCAAAATTAATGGCTACCATGATCCCACCTGACTAACTCCAAGGTCCATTTAATTCTGGAATGTTCAAATGCCTAAACAAAAACTAGTTTGTTTTGGAGTTCTCTCTCCTTCCACTGTTAGGATTAAACTGCTATGCAGGTAAGCAACAGATTGAAATTCGTAGAATTCAACATGGATGCCCTTCTTGTGCATAAAGCAGAAAGTACTTCCTGAGAAGATCTAGCCTCATCTGAATAAGGCTCCTTTGATACAGAGTTATTCAGACATTCTTGTGAAGTGATCCTAGAGCAAACAAGAATATATATACCTTCCTTTTAGCATACCACTGCCCCCCACCTTCTTTTGTTCCCCAGGAAAAAGCCAATTTCCTGCCTCCAGCATTATCTCTTCCTGCCAGTATTCACTAGAGGTTGTCTCCAGCCAGAAACTATGGTTCAGTTCCCCCTTCATTCTCGGCAAGTCACAATGGTGGCAGGCAGTTGTGAAAGTACTTGTAAATGCCACTCAAAACCCGCTATAAAACTATGATATTCTAAGCAAAAAAGGAATGTTCTTTATGGGCCAAAAGCAAGCCAGGTCCAAGATTGGCCCTCAGCATTCTCAGCTCATTGGTTGCTGGCACAATTCATAAAACTTAGGAAGATAGTTACATGCTAAAGAGATAGGATGTTCAGATAAGCTTGCATTCCTAAATATAAAGTTACACAAGAGGTACAACTCTGATTCTTCCTCTACTATTAAGAGTAACTCTATGATGAAATGGAATCTTGAACTATCCCCTTCCAAAACAGAATCAAATGGCCTTTGTACCTCTTTACAAAGCTTGGAAGAATGTCTGCTATAACTCCTTTACAATTTTCCATGCTATCTGAACTATTTGCTTCTTTATCTTTGGACAACAGTGAATGCCAATTCTTTCTCACATTGTTCATGGAAGTTGTGTGCCCAACCTGCCCTAAAATTAACAAAATCTCTTTACAAAGCCAAAAGAAACAAACACAAATCAAAGGCAAATCTTCTTCCACAAGGAAAGGTAAAAGTTGAGGGAAGAGAAGGAGCTAAAATTGAAACAGGATTCAAGAGTTTAACTCCATACATCTCCACTTAGGATAATAACCATCCACATCCAATTTATCTTCTTAGGAAAAAAAAAAAAGGAAGATGCTTTCTTGATAAGATGGAAAGGGCTAGGTTTAAGCACTGGAAGAATTAAAATGAATGACTAACCAGAACACAATCCTTTGAAAGTATTCTGTGAAATTCCAACTTTCAACATAAGCAAAGTAATATAAAACCAACACAAATAGTTACCTGATTTCAGGATGTTGAAATCCTGGACCTTCTCTGTAGTGCTGCCTGGGGTCAGAAAGGTAACTTTCTGATGCCTCCTGTGAAGGGATTATATAAGGATATTCTGGAGGAGGACCACGGGGCTCTGATGCCTCAGAGGACTTTCCTCTAGAGACACAGAGTTGGTGGTGCCTGGAAAGTTGAGGGTAGCTGTGAGAGGAACTCATGTGGTTCTGTGCTTGAATGCCATTCCTCTCCAGGGACACCTGCAGGAGCTGCTCACTGAGTGACCGTATATGACCATGTTTCAGCTCTTTCAGTGATTCGGCTTGCGGTATGCTGTTAATGTCAGAAGCATAGGTCCTGCGCTGTCCACCTTCTATAGGTGCTCCAGACAAGGTGGCCCTAACATGCTGTCCTGGTTGTGTGGCATAATACTGAGACTGAGCTTTGGCCTCCTCATAGGTGGGAAGCTCTTCTCCTTTATGCTGAGGCTGGTAGAACCGGTACATGTTATTCTCCAGGTAGAGGTGGTCAGCATGGTGCTCCTGACCCTGGGGTTCTTGTCGTGTTGATTGCTGAACCATTTGGCTCTCATCCTGTGTGAGACTCTCAAGGGAGGACTGGGGGCTCCCACTGCTTCCTCCTCCTCGTAAGGCCTGCTGCTGTATGGCTAGGAGTGTACGATTCTCAGTGAGATTGCCATACCTCAGCTGCTCTTGGATGAGGCGGTGAAGGACAGTTCCAGAGGAATCCTCAGCTGTCCTCATTCTCAGCTAACGGGTTCTTCCCTAGTGCTTTCTGAATGCACTAAAACAGCAAAATTTGTTTCTGGAATCTAACAGCTACTGTCCATCCAAATGACCCTGCAAAGAGAGAAAAAGTCATGAGATTGCACAACGTAATAAACTCATTGAACAAGACCACTGCATTCCAATTCTGTATCTTTTTGAATAGTCTTTTGCAATGTAGTGCCTTCCAGACATCCTTGACCATAATCCCTGTCACTCCCAGCCAATATGACCAACACTCTACATAGCTGATTGGATTTGTAGCCCAACAAATATGGAAAGGCCAGACTGGGAGATGCATTCTATAGAATAATTGCTTTAGAGATGGAGAGCAAATTTAGAAGTTTCCCAAAGGCTTTTTAGTTTATGGGCATAAGAATATAATGAGAAAATGTATCTATTAACATGTCTTTATTTCTTAGGTTTTATTCAATTCATTCATTTAGATTTGCTATAAACCATTCCAAAGGCTTTGACGGAAAATAAAGTGCATATTTAAATGGAGCCTACTTCCAGGGATTCTCATAAATTCTATACATAAGGACTGCTTCCTGTACTTTTGATTCAGAAGCACATCTTTTTAATTCTGTGGAAATGTGTAGCAAAAATTAATCAGATTTCACAGTGCATGTGAAAATGTTTTTTTTAAATGTTGTTTTTCCATGCAACATTTTTGCAACAATCATATGAAATAAGCTCTGGGTATTTAGGCCAATAAATACCATCAGGAACTGAAGTCCCACTTCCTCAACCTTCCACCATATCCAATATTTTTCCCAATAAATCAGTTGCACTAAATCAGAAACAATGCTTAACTATAAAAAATGAAGCTTGCTGATAATATCCTCTTCTTCCCATACGTTTTCATTCTAATCCAAGATGAAAAGCAAAACAAAAATGTATGATCTGATTAAATGTTCATATCCTTTAAATAAAAGATATCAAAAATAAGACAATGTTGATGTGGCACAGCAGCCAAAGTTGATTTCTACAAGAGATCCACATCTGAAAATTAACCCTAATCTCTGATTTGGAGTCCTGCCTTTGGGTGGAATTAGAGAAAGGAACTCTGCATCCGCCCAAAGGCACAGTCTTTAGCCAGATTTTATACCCTGCAATGCTGGTGCTAAACAATTAGGGACCATACAAAAGGCAAAATAGGTAACCATAATTATTTGTAAGTAATGTGCTATTCTGGGGAAACAAATAGGAGTCAACGAATTGGAGCGAGGCTATGTGGAACTCTTCATTTTATAAAAACTATCTAGGATGCTACAGAACTATCATCTTGTTTTTTAAAAAATGATTTTTGAGAGAAATGGACTGTCTGATCAGCACTACTGCATCTCTTTTACAGATTATTTAACATTACTCTTCAGAAAAGAGGTTCAATGTAGGCTGTTCTGAAACAACAACAAAATATTTCTGCAAAGCTTCCCAGAAAAAAAAAAAAAGAATCTTGACACCAATTCTCTTAAAGCAACACATTCCTGAGAAACATTTGCAGCAAGCCAGAGAGAAAAACGAAATGCTCGGCGAATCTTCATAACCTACGCACCAACAGGGCAAAGAAAAGAAAGTTCCGACTCATCACCCTGCAAACAGGCTGATCCAAGGAACAGACGCGTTAACTTCGGTCTTGGGTTGCAATCCTAAATATGCTTCCCTCAACGCTTCGCGGCTCCCTCCTCAAAAGCTTCGTATTAACCCATAACCGAGTCCTCTGCCAATTTCCCTAGAAATGGCTAAAAGCAAAGACTGGAGGAAATGGCGAAGGTTTGGCTTCTACCTCTCCTCCCTCCCAGTCCAAACCCAACGGAGAGAGAGCGCTCGCTTGCTCGCTCGCAGCGCACTCAGCAGATTGCCATCTGCGCCGTCTTTCGAGTTTCCCTGCCCGCTCTTTGTTTTCCAAATAGTTCTGCGCTGACATCATCGGGGTTTGGATTGCAATTAACATTCCTGCTAAGTGAGAACGAGAAGCATCGGGCAGCGGCAGGCAAGACAAAGCCAAGGCTACCGCTCGCGGGGTATAAACTCTCCCAGCCACCTGCATTGCCAGCAAACCGCTTCCCCCCCACCCCCAACACACACACACCGTCGCAAAGAACAGCAGCTTATACACTGCTACGCTCCCCCACCAACCAAGATTTCGAAACGTTTGTAACAACTGCGCCCAGGGAACGGAGGGCCATTTAGTAAAGAGTTGCAGGGAAAGCGAAGGGCAAAGGGGCTTACACAGGTAAAGATGCCCAAGAGAGATTTATATATTTTTTTAAGGCCGAAAGATAAAGAAGAAGAAAAAAGTAAGAACCAGCGCTTTGGGCTCGCCGTTCTGCTCCGGCCACCAATGCCAGAAGGAGCAAAACGGCCATAAATTCCTAAAAGGGGTGTCCGATCTGGAAGGAAGCACCGCAGGGAAAAAGGGGTCCTTGCTCGTAACCAGCTCTCCGTTCAAGCCGCCAGACATATGTCGCGGGCGTCTCTTTTCCCTCCGGACCAAACCTCCAGCGGCGTGAAACTTACCCAACCATAGCAGCCGGAGTGGCCCGGTGACTCTGCCGCACGATTTGGGGGGGGGGGGGGGGTCTCTTTTTTCTGGCTGCGGAGCGCCGAAGAGGGAAAGGTGCGTTCGATCCCGGCCAGCGCCTCCGCCCGTGCTGCTGTCCCGGGCAACTGAGGGAATGTAAGTTGTCTCTGAGCGCGCGTGTGTGTATGTGTGTGTGTGTGTGTACGTGCGTGCATGGAAGCCTAAGCTTCCTTGCCCAGAAGCGCCTGCCTGTGTCCGCCCCTGCTGGAAGGAAGGCGACTGCGCGCAGCGCCTGCCTCCTCCAGCTGCAAGCAGAGCCGAGGAGAAAAAGAGGCTGGGCTGCGCAAGAGGCTGATGCTATGTCAGGAATGCAAGAGTCTTCAGGTTCCCCACTGGGATCAAAGTACGCAGTTGGCTTTTAAAGAGCTTTGCCGTTTGCGGCTCTGCAGTTGTGTTCGGAGCCGGAGGCCGGAAGAGGGCGTGCTCCAGCTTCTCCCCAACTCTCACAATAAAATATACAATACGCGACCGGCACGGACTCAATTCAGCAGCTCGATTTAAAAGGCTGCCTCGGTTTATACGGCTTCCATTTGTAGAGGCGTTTTGCTGGGCCGCAGTGGCTCGGCTGTGCAGAGCTGCTGCTTTGAAGGGCACAGAAAGACTTAATTTGGCTAAAATGAAAAAAAAAAAAAAAGAGGCAAGAATGGATCCTGTGGATCCTGTGGAATGGATCCTAAGCAGGGTCGCATATCATCAGCTTTCCCATAAATAAGAGCTGCTGTATGAGGTTATATTAAAGAAGGGCGTAGCTATTTTCTTTCCTACATGTCCTGCAATGAAATGCGTCTGTTTGGAATTTATACTTAATGTTTCTGCAAAAGATCAGGTCAGAATTGGGCTCCAGGCAAGTGCTTCCCGAATCTCAGCCACCCTTTTCCGCATCTAAACTGTGGGTGCAGTTCCTTTTCCTTTCCAGGAAAAGGCCAAGACTCATTCAACAGAATGAGCAGGAAAATTCTCCAGTAAAACAAAGGTGATTTCCTAGAAATTAAAATAAGAGAAATAATACACAATCTCTTCCTCCACCCAACGGCTAGTGTGGTCATGGTGTAAAAGCATCTACCTCTAACGCTACAGTAGTTGCACAGCCAGTTTGACAATCCTGAATTTCTCACTGTGTGGTAGTGCGGTTTTAGAGTTGTTATTTGGGAGGTTTAGCCCAGACTGTCACATCTATGAATCCAGATAGCTTGTTGCATTTTGAAGACTGCTTGGCAAGCCTTGTCTTAATCCCAAATGCATTGGTCATAATCCCAAAGGAGAAGGAAGCCATATTCTTAGTAATGAAAATGTTAGCCAAAAAACTTCAGGCTCACTGACAGTTCAGGAATCAAATGGGAATAGTTTGACTATTCAGGACCTTCTGATTGTGAAGACATGCAAAATATTTGGCAACTCCACTGACATGCAGCACAGACATGTGATGCCATTATTAAAATGATTTCTGTATAGTTAAAAAGAGAATTCACGATATGGGAAAAGAAAATATACATGGTTCCAATCATACAAACTTTGCATTGTTAAGTATAAGTTACTGGATTGTTAGATATAGTCTAGTTAGCAAGAAGCCTCCATTCCATAGCCCTATAATATTTTTTTAAAAAAAAACAATTTTCAGTTAGAGGTTAAAACTGGTAGGTTATGTATTCTGAGTTTACAGTCACAACCATGACTTTTCTTTTCCCCCTTTAACATTTTTCACATCTACCATGGTTTCTTCTAACATCTTCGTGTCTCTCATTTGCAACAGAGGTAGACAGAAAATATTCTGGGATCTACTAATAAAGCTTCAGGTGATTTGAAATAATCAACAAAATTCCCCAATGCTCAAGTGATTAAGAATAACTAGTTTGAATATCTGTTTTGATGGAACTTTGTAACTGCAGGTTGCATCTCACTTTTCTGAGCCATTAAGGGGCTATGATTCACCTTTTGTGTTTGACTCTGACTAATGGGCTGTAGGGTTCTAAGAAAAAACACATAACCCATTAATCTAAAGGATACATTTCCCTAATCTATTGTTGTGCTGATGATTTTCCATTCAAACATTGCATCTCTCCTTCTCTTGGTTAAGTCACTTTCTTCTCCCTTCCCCCAGTGCTCCTTCTGTTTCTGCCAATTCAGTGAAGCCCAGTTACTCCTGGTTGGTTTAAAGCTGGACCAAGAAAAAACAGTACATGTCAACTGTACTCATTCTTTGGGATAATGCAACAGGTGCTGAACATCTTGGATCCTGGCATGGAACAGTCTGATCCAATTGCTTTTATGCCAGTGAGACATGTACCTGCAAATGCTTTGCCTTCTGCAGTTGTAACTTTGGGAATACATCAGGGCTTCTCAAACTAAGGGCCATGAGCAACCCTGTATTAACTAGTGAACAAAATAAGCAGGAGTTTAGGGCACCAAGGGAAGGAGACACCACAAAGTTTTCCCCCTGGTTCTTGTGTTCTTAACTCTTTTACCACCACAATCAACTTTAGTGGGGTTTTTTTTTTTCCCGTAATTGTCCTTTTCTGCTGTGTTTGCTTTACATTGTTAAAAATGTTTGCTTTGGCAGATTGAATGACTAAAATTTAAAAGTTTAATAATCAGAGATCACATTTATTTTGCTTCTGTCAAGGGGCACCACTATTGGTTTGTGCTTAGGGCATCACTTGGCCTTTATCCAGCCCTGGCCATGACCTGTAGTGAGGTCATAAGCATTTTAGAGGGGTGTCAAAATCTTCTTCAGGCTTGGTGAGGCCTGTTTAGTCAAAGTGGGAGCTTGGGCAGAATGCACTTCAGACTTCTTCTGGAGCTTCCATTTGTAACACGACAGTCAAAACTCACATGGAACTTCAGTTCCATGAATTTGCCACTGTTGAGTTTGAGAACTGGTGGGGTTTTCAACTGCTACAGATTAAATATGTTTTGTTTATTTAGTTAGTTATTCAAGATAAACAAAACATATCCAGAGTAAACGGAAATAAAATATCCTTAAAGAAATAATAATCTAATCATAACCAGCAATTAATCAAAATCCATAGAATATCTATGCAGTAGATATTCACTGCATACAACATTTTTGCAAGAGTTCCATTGACAACATCTTCCGAATGATTAAAAGGACAAGATTTTTTTTTTGTCCAATGAAATCATTAGTTTTATTCATGGGGGAAGGTCACACAAATTCATTTAAAGAGACAGGTACCCCATTATTTTGAGGACACCTGTTTTGCACTAGGGATGCGTCCGATGAAAGAAGAAGGCAGTTATCAACTTGCTTTCTTAAATTTGTCAGTATTTTGCCTTTGGCTCTAGTTCCAAACACAGAAGGCTAACAGTTGTACTTAAGTGGAAGTTAACATGACTGAATACTAATTCCTTCAGGCCCCTCCCAATCCTCCAGAAAGAAAGCCAGCAGCTCTTAAGGCTTCTCTGTGTCATGGTACCTGCTACAGCTACACCATGGCAAAAAGAGTTTCTGGATTTAAATAATATATTAAGCCAAAATTAAACACATCACTACTATAGTGTAATGACTGGTTCCATAACATTGGAGCTGGCTTATCAGAAGGACCATCTCTCCCTGATAATATCTGCCTGTCCTGTCAAGAGTGGCAGAGAAGGCATGTTGAGGGTTCCATCTGATGGGAAATTACATTTGGTGGATCCCAGGAGAGGGACTTTTTTTGCCATGTCACATCTGCCTTGTGTAACCTCCTCCTTCGATTAGCTCCATCCCTCTCAATATTTTGCAAGTCGCTCAACACCTGGTTATGTTGTCAGGCTTGGAGGTCCCAGGGAATGGAAATTTTGTGATAGCTTTGTTCCTGCAATTAATAGCATTCTCTCTTGTTTTGTGTGCCTTTTTTGAGGGTATTTTTTAATTGTGATTTCATGTATTTTTTTTTTAAATTAAGTGCCCGGTCTCTTTCATGTGAGATGGACAGCTATGCAAATGTTATAAATAAATAAATAAACCTACTGCTCATTAGACACCAATGTGCAGATGGATGTTTCCCTTGATTTGGAATGCTATTCCAAAGTTTTTTTTTAAAGAAATTGTTCTCTTTATAACTAAAGGTGGAAACGTAAAATGTTTATTACCCAAGAATGTTTCTAGGTCCTGCATATTTACTTATTAAATTTATTTGTTGCCCTTTCCTGCGACTCTAGGAAGCTTACAATAAGATAATATTATAAAAAATCAGAACAGTAAGAAGTAAATATATTAAAATTAACAAAGATAGTGGAATCATGCAAGTTAGTATTAAAAATAAATATGCTAGGAGGTCTTCAACCCAATATTTTGATTAGGAGTGACTCCATTTACCCAGAAAACTGATATTAAAAAAAAATGAGATGATAGAAAACATCTTAAGGTGGTAGAGAGTTGCCTCTCTAATTTGCTTTATAATAAATCAATGTTCTGCAATTTGGCATCTATTTTCTGAGAATGTTCATATTATGCTGTATTAATATTCTGAAAATTCCATTTGACTCAAAAGATTCAGGGACGAATCTATAATTCATTGTGAGAACCTATCCAATTGTGGCTTATTTAATAAACTATGATCAATACTTTAGCCTGATGTGTGAACCCAGTAAATCCTGAGAATTCTTTTTCTTCCTTCCTTCAACCTATATAATTTCAATCAGTCAAGCATATCTCATTTTATAAATTATAATTTATAAAATATTTTTACTCTCCCATTCTGTTCCATATCATGCTGCTCAAAATAATTGACAATTACCTTGCAACAATGAAAACATGATTCCCAAAACAACACATTGAACAATACTACAAACATCAATGCTGAGCAAAGGATTATCCTTGTCTGAAAAACAATCACACTGAGAATTATTTTTTTCAAAACAAGTTTTTCAAGTGATAGAGATCAAATGAAGGGGAGAGCGAATGCCTATTAAATTATAATTTGGGGGAGGGGCTGAGGGGCTGAGAATACCTTTTTGGAAGTTGTGGTTGGTTATGTGGCTTTAGGGACAGAAAGGAGCATTGTTGCAAATTGTGCTTATGGATTTGTGCAAGGAAGCCTGAAGCAAGTGTCAGCAGCTTGTGGCTGAGAGGGGGCAGTTATTGGCAGGGGATCAGCCTGCTGCCTGCCAGCTGCCTATGGAAATAAATCTCCTTTAATCAAAGCTGGGAGAGGATCTGTTGTCTTCAATGCCAAACAAGCCTGATTAAAAAAGAAAGAGCCCGCCTTTGCCATCTGCTCTTCCCACCGCATGCCTCACAATGTGGCGTCTCCCTCCCCCCCTCCTTCTGTCGGCCCCCAATTGACAGGTGATGCCTGTTTGGAACTCACAAAGAAAGCATCATATCCTTTGACTTGCAGGTACATTCCAAAGGGAGGGCTGGGAATTCCTTCTGTCTTTCCAGGGCCTTTGGATGACGTCTCCAAATTATTTCCTGCTGCACCCAAAGGATGTATAATGAAATGGTGACTGAGGATTTGGCTGAAGACGTACTTTTCTAAGGATATAAGCGCTGAGGCTTTATTTGAGTAGAGTTGAGGATAATTGTGTTAATTAACCTTTACATTTAGTAGCAGGAAGTACCTGAGGCAATTTTTCCCAACCTGGTAACTTCCAGAATATCCCAGACATATTGGGAACATCACTTCCAGAATTCCCGTCTCTGGGATATTAAATAAATCCAAAGAAACAAAACCATGAAACTCATAATATGTCCCAGTTCAATGTTCAACCTGGGCAACTTTAGCTAGCTGGAGAATTCTGGAAGTTGAAGTCCACACATCTTAAATTTGCTAAAGTTGGAAACCATTGCTATAGGCAGGCAAAGGCAGTCTATGATGCTCCTCATTAACTGCTTCGTAAGTAGATTCAGAAATTGCCACAATATTGACAGAACCATATTTCAATTAGCAAAGAAGAAATGAAAGGATATTTATAAAAATGTATTGTTTTTCATAATAGCTTCATTGTTGCATAAAAAGAAAGTCCTGTACTTTTGCACATATAAAATATGGTAGGTATGAAGAATTGGGTGCAATGAAGTAAATCAGTCAACAAATATAAGAAAAATTACGAGGACTAGCTGCAACAACGGAAAATGAAAGTGTATTTATGGCATAGAAAGATGACTATGCAGATGAATTCATATGCTTATTCAAGGCTTGGAATATTAAAAAGAAGGACTAATTAACCTAGAGATACAAGAAACAAACAATGGGTTGGATTAGTTCAGTGGTGAAAAGTAAAATTTGTTACTACCAGTTCTGTGGGCATGGCTTGGTGGGGGGGTAATGTGACTGGGTGGGTGTGGCCAACTTTTTTTTTTTACTGTTAAAAGCATTTTTTCTACAACCTCTTCAGCCGAAGAGATTGCAGAAAAAAATGCTTTTAAAAGCCTCTGACGATCAGACAACTCAGCTGGGATCGTCAGAGGCTTTTAAAGGCATTTTTTTCTGCAACCTCTTCGGCCAAAGAGGTTGCAGAAAAAAATGCTTTTAAAAGCCTCTGACGATCCCAGCTGAGCTGCGCGATCATCAGAGGCTTTTTCCCTCTGTTTAAAAGCATTTTTTCGGCCGAAGAGGTTGTAGAAAAAATGCTTTTAAAAGTAAAAAAAAAAGCCTCTGATAATCGTGCAGCTCAGCTGGGCATGGGGGGGGGGGGCGGACTTTTGCTACTGGTTCTCCGAACACCAGCCTCCATTGGTACCAGATCAGGCAATCCAGTCCGAACTGGGAGCATTTCACCCCTGGATTAGTTGTACCTTATGTGGATTCATTGATTTTAATAGGCCTGATCTAAGCATAAAAAAGTCTGGATCCAACTCTAAAAGTATCCTCATAATAATATCCTCATTCTAATTATTGAAAAATTGCATGTTTTTAATCTTGCATAATGTCTGGAAAATGCCTAAGCATGATACTTGGCAGATTTAAATAGGGATAGAAGTGAACAATTGGGAAGCAAAAGCAAAATGTGTCTTTCACCCTTCTAATCTGATATATGGAGGGAAGTTTAGAGATCCTAAGGATATTTGTATCTATAAGTGGTTTTTAATTTTTTTTTGAAATAATTAGATTCTATATCTAAACAAATTCATCTATATAAAATGTTTCAAGTGATATAAATACAATACAATGAAAATCAAATATAGTGACAGCATAAAAGAGAATTACAGGAACTGGCGTAATGATAACTGTTAAGGCCACAGAAGTAACTCAAAATAAAATCAAACTTCAAAGATTAATTTTGTTTAGATATTTTCAAGAAGTCACATTCCAAATACAGTATAATATTTATGGATTCAGTAGTTTGGTTCAAAGACATTAAAAATTATTACCTGTAACCCAGTGGTGGGTTGCCCCCGGTTTGCACCGGTTCTATAGAACCGGTAGTAAAACTGACCGGAGGCTCTGCCCACCGACCCCGACATCATCAAAATGCTTCTGCGCATGCACAGAAGCTTCTGCGCTTGCATGCGGCCCCAGTGCAAACCGGTAGTAAAGGTAAGTAGAACCCACCCCTGCTGTAACCATAATATAAAAGAACTGTATAAAAAAGCTTTAGCTTGGAAAGTCTATCATATGAATCTGCCTAGGAAGGGCTTTCTAAAGAGGATAGGTTTCAACCATGGCAACTTTAAGATGTGTGAACTTTAACTCCCAGGATTCTCCAGGTTCTTTTGGGAAAAAACAATATAAGCAATAGCTATAAAAGTTATACACATACCTAAGAAGCAAGAAGGGAGGGAGGAGGGGAGTGCATTTTGGGGCAACGTTAATTGTATATGTACCAGCTGATTGTTTTGTAAAGGCTGGGTTTCCCTCCCTCCCTGCCTGAGCGGGATTCTTGCATGGCCCCAGCCTCTGGCCTGCAGCACCGATGTGTGTCTGTGGTCTGGAGTGCCTGGCCAGCTGAGGCACATGGGGCAATGGGGTAGAATTTGCTGGCTGAGTGGCCTGCTGCTCCTGCTGCCGCGAGGGGTGACGGGGCGGTGATGGTTTTTTTGCTGCCACTTCTGGCCGGGATGCTGGAACAGCCAGGAGGAAAAGGAGGAGGAGCTGCCATTGGGGAGGCAAGTTGCACCAGGAGGGCTGGAGGAGAGTGCAGCATGGAGACACCGCCAAGGGGTAAGAGGTGCACCGGGCCATTGTACATGCTATGCAGAAGGAAATGGAAAAAGAAGTATATTGAGCACAGAATATCAACCAATTGAAGAACCAAGGACAAAAATTGGAAAAGACATAATGGAATGGTGCATTCCGTAAAAAGGAATCTGCAATGGTGTTATTACAAATGCTGAAAACAATGCACACAAATGATATCAAGAAGAATAATTCTGTATCTTGCCATCACTTGTTAATCTCCCTCAGATAATAACTGCATGTTGTTTTGTAGGACTAAGTCTGCAGACATATCATGCAGAATCCTGGGATGCATCCTTGTATCACTTTGCCAAAATTCTTAATTGAGTGCTGTATCTTAATTGTCCTACTTTTTTCAAGCATTTATATCTCACAATTATGGTCTTATTTCATGGACCAGCCAAAGCATATGAAATGCTATGCACTTTCTGAGGAAACTACAATTAGTTGATAATCTGCCAGGCTTTCCTTGGCTGACAAACCAATATTTCAAGAACACAAATGCTCTTTTAAGTAAGTTTTATTATAGAAAAGTTTTGAAGCCAGTATGAAAGAATTCCAGTGACTGCCATGTGTTAAATGCAAGCTCTGTTTCTAGTGAAACCAGTGTTCAGATTATTGTACCTCTTGTTCTCACCCTTGCAGTGCAAAAGATAAGGAATCACTCTCTTCTGGGTGAGATACCCAGGTTCCATTTTTTTTTCTTTTTAATTTACTAATGAAATTATCTGCTCTTAAGTCTATTTGTTTCCTTTATATTTCAGGCTATACTACAAGGACCATCACTACTCATTGTGTGATGACCTAGCTTCAAATTCACAATTGGTCAGCTTTGATGAGAACATCTATCTTCAGATTAAGGGTGCTACCATGGCTAGTTTCGTGGCTACAGTATACCAACTTGATTTCTTAAAACATTGTTTTCTCAGCTGTTGTCAAAAATTGATTTCATTCAAACATAGGAGTATCTTTTCTCACAATCCTACTTCAAGCATCTAATGAAGAGAAATTTAGTTTATGAAACTTCGTGCCTAACAAATTTCTTAAAAGAGTTTTTGCCTGCTACTGAGTTTTAGTGCCATCCATCCAACCAATATCCATCCATCTTGGTATGAAATCAACTATCTTCCACTTAAAATTACTATATCATCTCTGTCATCTCTATTTACAATGGCAGTCACTGGTATAATTTTTAAGGCACCAGGCTAGAAACCAGAAGACTGTGAGTTCTAGATCTGGCTTAGGCATGAAAGCCTAAGGGTGACTTTGGGCCAGTCGCTCTCTCTCAGCCCAATTCACCTCAAAGAATTATTGTGGGGAAAACAGGAAGAGGAAAGAGTAGTAGACATGTTCACCACCTAGAGTTATTTATAAAAAATAATAAAATATACATAAATATACGTAAATAAATAAGTAGAAATAGACATCCCTCCAAAGTAATGAATGACCAAATCTAACAGATTTTAGATACCTTAAAGTAGTTGCCCTGAATTATGTTGAAATAAAGGGAAAAAAATTACTTTAACTCATATACAGCAAGTTATTGCCTAGCTTTGTTTCATTTATATATGCTGGGCCACGAAGAAGGAAATGTCATGAGGACATAGGAAGGAGAGAGAGAGAGAAGGGGGGGGGAAGAGAGATTTTGCTGGAACATATTTATGATGTGGTTAAGTAGAAAGATAGCATGATGGTTCAGCAGTTAGAGGTGTTGAGTTTGTTAGCTAACGGCGAGGGTTCAAGACCCAAGTACCACGCAATGGGGTGAGCTTCCGTTCCTATCCCAGCTCCTGCCCACCTAGCAGTTCAAAAGCATGCAAATGCGAGTAGATTAATAAGTACCACTTCGGTGGGAAGGTAACAGCGTTTTATGTGCCTTTGGCATATAGCTATACTGTTCACATGACCATGGAAAATATCTTTGGGTTAACGCTGGCTTCCTCGGCAATGAGCACCCTTACCTTTTAAGTAGAAGGGGGAAAAGATTCTCAGTTTAAATCCCCCTGGGTTTCAATAATTTTGAGCCACTACTACTTCGAGCCTAAAACATTCCACGTTGCTATGCTCTCTGATAAATGAGATACAAATTTGCACCACAGCAGATCTGCTGGCTTCTGAAAGATCCACCAGCCACTGTGCTGCTTTTGCTGTTAAAAATATGATGAATTTCCTTTAGAAAGTATAATTTAAATTCATTGTAATTTTTACATTAATGCAAAATCTGGTTCTATGTATATGCAGCTTAATTTTGTAGCTTCATTAAGAAATCCCTTTTTAATGCTGGAGGTGGGATTCTTGGGCAGGGAGACAAGGATTCCTTTGTATAAAGTCACACATACCCCAACCCCCCTTTTCTCTCCTTTCTCTCCTCTGTTTACATTGACATGGTAATGTCTGGAATGCAGCTATTTCCTCTTCTGTTCCCAATACAATGCAAAGGGACAAAAGCCAGCAATTTGCTCACCTCGGGTCAAAGACTAGCTCCTTTGCCTTTCCTTGAACACCAGGAATCCCTGCTGTATATTCCTTCTCACTAACCCATTATCTCAGCAGGGGTTAGAGAGCCCCATGCCTTCCCTTCAGGAGGCCTGCTCCTACATCAGCACCACTGGAAAGGAAAAATCTTAACACAGAGACCCACATATCTTCCGGTCTTCAGTGTCTTGTCTTTCAATAGAGTAAAACTGGTGTGACGAGACCGTTACTGATGGACAACACTTGGAGCCTTGAAAAGCTGATGCTTGATTTTCTGACATATGGCTGGTGAAATAGCCTCAGACTTTTTCATAATTAAATTTGATTGCATGTGAGAAAAATGGGAAGGAACCTTAAATTTTACATGTGTTTGGTGAAAAATGATCTTCAAAGCTTATCTGGATAAGTATTTTACCAAATGTATAGGTAATATAAGTTATTAGTGCAGGATCCAATCTGGGTTGGTCACCGAGACCAGAGTTTAGTCTTCTGAGCTTTTGGACTTGTGCTGGACCCCATCCTTAGGGAACTTCTGTCTAGCACATTCTGCAGCATTTTCGGAGATATGTATATTTGCCTTCATTCGTAAGTTATTAGTGTTTTAAAATGGATTTATTTTGCAGTATAACAGACCTTGATATATTTTGCAGTATAACAGACCTTGATATGTGAACAAGGGACAGTATAATAACTTTATTATCTATCATTATAAAGATCATACTACCTGATTGCCTAGCCTCACAACATAAGATACTTGTTGCTGATATGAAGATTAGCGTACACAGAAATGGTAGTGGCAGGACAAGGGGTCCAGACAAAACTAAGTGGTGGAAACTATGCAGCCACAAGGCAGCTTTCATCAACCATATTACATCTCCTCCAATCACTGAAAGCTTGATTGATGCCACATGGACTGCTGCTCTTGGAGACTGCCTCGAGAATGACCCTGGGCACTATGAGACCAGGCCTTCATCGCACTGACAAGAAACCATGGCTTTGGACTGAAAAAGGGCAGCAAAAAGTACAGGAAAAGAAGGTGACATATAAGAACTGGTATACACATAAGATCAATTTTGCCCAAACTGGCAAAATTACCTCAGTGTGAGAAGAATGGCAAAGAAAATTATTCAGGTCAGAGCTGAACACTATTGCAACTTAGAGAAACAACTGGACATGAAGAAATGCAAGCAAAACATGTCAAGGACAGACAAGGCATCGAGCACTATGTATGTGTGAAAGATAAAGATGACAGGCGACTGCGGGACAAAGACAAAATTCTGGAATGCTGGCAGCAGCAATTCAATGACTAATATCAAATTTGCATACTTGCCTGATAGCTTGCCCAATGCTGGCCCAGTTCCACACATCTTGCTGGAAGAGGTTACCAAAACTACCCATGGCATGAAGAATTTAAAAGCACGAGGCCTTGATGACCTACCAGCAAACATTTGGAAGCTGGAGGAATTTAGCAGCAAAGCAGCCAATTGGCTAATGTACTTCTTCCACACCATTGTGGACTTTGGATACGTGCCTGCTGACTGAGCTACAAGCCCCACAGCTCCCCTTTTCAAGAAAGGTGACCCACCAGATTTCTCTATCAACCAATTTGAATTTGAATTTGCCTCTTATCATACACAATGAAAATCTTTGAGCAGATCCTCAACCAACGCCTACATGACATCGTGAAAATCAGTACTAATCAATGCGGTTTTATCAAAGGTTCTAATACTGATGCTATCTTCACAGCTCACTCATGGACAAACTCCAAGAAAAGGGGAAGCTATTACACGTGACTTTCCTTGAATAGAATTGCCCAGTTGGATCTGATGCTGCATTTGATCATGCATGACAGTGTTTATTGATCCAAAAAGCACCTGTGGGAATAGCTATAGGAAGTGGTGATTATCTATCATTATATAATATGTTTACGAAGTAAATCAGTTTAAACTAGTTAACACGAATCAAAATTGTTTGCAGATTCATATGTGCCTGCCATGCTTAAGCACAGAAAAGGCATCAATTCCAATGAAAAGTCACAGAGATTGGGAGTAAAACAATGTTTTAACCTTCATGTAATAGGGGACAAGCCAATAATTTTAATTTATTACTACGTTAGAATTGTCTTTATTATATAAAAGCATATTTGCAAATGAATGTCTAGTTCACCTATGTATCTGCTACTTCCATACTTTTATATTCCCATGAATAGATTATCAGTTAAATCACTATACTGGGTTATGAATTAATGGTGACTGCAATGAGCCATGATAATATGTAAACAGGGACTTATTTATCATTATATCATCATGCAAATTCCACAATGCTTGTACTTGTAACAGATATTTGGATGCAAGTAAGGAAGGGCAGGGTTGGTTTGATGATGTCACTGCATGTGTGTCATACATTCCACATTCTCATGTATTGCTACAGATTCCAATGATTCACATTAATCAGATAAAGCAGTTTTGGATTTATTGACCTAGTCATATCAATAAAATGGGAGCAGTAGATTCATATAAGGCCATCTGGTCTGTTGTTTTGATTAGTATAATTAAAGATACAGGTCTAAAATAATAGCTAGCATGGAGATTGTTTTTTTCCCCTTTCAATTGAGTTTAGTCCAATCCACATGCAATAAACCCAGTCTTGACTGCACTCTTCGTAGGGACTCTGATGAAATTGAATCTTCAGTATACTTCTTAATGCATTTTCTGAAGAAAAATATAATGGAATGTACAGTATTGGAATTAATACTATTGTCCAAATATAAACAAAGGTAAATATCTCATTTATATTTTTGGTTGAAGGCTATTTTTTAAAACCAATAAAATATTAGTTGGAGTAAAACCCAAACAGTTTCAATCTGATTTGCCTCCATAACAGTCTGAGAATCAGGCTTTTAATTCTATAAAGTTGCTTCCTTGTTTTTGAAGGAAGGGGATTGGCAAAATGGCCCAGGACTAACAAAAGCTCCTGTATGTTGTGAATAGTTATCACCTAACAATAGTAGCCAAGAAACAGCTCAGATTACTTCTCAGGACATTAAAAGCCCCTGGGCACAGCATAGAAGAATGTGGCTGGCACTCAACCTTCCCGCTGTTTTCAAGGACACTGACAGCAGAAGCTGAAAGAAACCCCTTCTTGTATTCTAACTGTTCTCCCAGAGACACATGTATCCATAGAGCTCCTGCCCAGATGCAGAGCTGCTGCTGTCTGCATGGCTTTGAGACAGCAGATGGCCAGAAGGATGTCCAATGTGTGGCAGTGGAAGAGAGAGACAGGGCAGGTGCAGACAAAATTGCTAATTAGGCATGGAACATTAAACATGCGTTCTATAAAGCTGGTATTCAGTACCTTTTAAAAAAAAATAGAGCAAACACCCGCAGCAATCTTGGGATTTTCTGGCAGCTCCACAATAAACCAAATTCTCCTGAAAAGACTAAAGGATCCCAAAGCAAGGGGCAGAAACATTTGTTTGGGCAGTGGGGGTTGGGGGGGGAAGCATTGAGAAGTTTTATCATCAACAAACCAGCCTGATTTCTTTTCTTTTTGAGCTATATAAAAAAAAAAAACTTTCAGAAGGAAAGTAATCAGAAGGAAAATATCTCTCCCAGTTATTTGTTGGGCTCTTGTTGCAACAGTGTACTTGATTAATAGCTGAGGGAAAGCCAATGATTAGGTTTGAGTATTTGAAGAGAAAGTGTCTGATAGCCCTACTTTTTGTGCTGGTCCCCTTCAGCATTTGTAAAACTTGCTTCATTAAAATATTTAAGCTGTATTTTTTGGTGGAATTTTTGGTGACTCATGATAGCAACTCCATATTTCATAGCAAGATGGAGTTCAGAAGCTTTCAGTGCTACTTTTAATTCACTACAGTTTGCTGAATTATCTGAACTTAGAATTCTGGTCAACATTAACTATAGTTATTTCAAACAGTCTTCATATTGTTTGAAGCTGGCTTGTTTTATAGAAAGCATGTTAATGATTAACAAGAACGGCTACATAACAAGGGGAGGTTTCAACACATTCATGTGAGTTGAAGGAAGAAGTAAAGGAAAATCTACAGCTTTCTATTGTGCATTAGCATGATTTAGGTTTTGAGGCAATCACTTCTGTGCAATCAGTTATAGTGTACTGCTACATTTCCATGTATGAGAAATTGTGGACAAATCATATGTTTGATAAGAGCTAGAGAAAATAACACATTTAATTACAGATTTATAGGAAAATAAAGTAGTTGTAAATGTAATCACTTCATATTAAAAAATAAAAATAAAAAAATGTATTTTGTCCAATACTTCTAGATTGGTTAGATATCTACATTGTAGATATATTTGATGTAGATATTTCTTACAAATATAAATCTATACAGATATTTTAGTCATCCATACAATCAAGAAAACATTATATAATAAGAAGTAATGATAAGAAACTTATCAAGAAGAGATCCAACCTAGAACTAAGAAGATATTTCTTGACAGTGGGAACTATTAAACAGTGGAACAGCCTGTCTCCAGATGTGGTTGCTCCATCATCAGAGGTTCTTAAGAAGAAACTGGACAGCTACTTGTCCAGAATGGTGTATGGTCTCCTGCTTGAGCAGAGAGTTGTACTAGAAGACCTCCATGGTCCCTTCCAACTCTGTTATACTGGTACTGTTACTATTTTAGCTTTGTTTTTTTCCAAAGGCAGATAACATGGCTCATCTCTGTTTCCCTCCCTGCAGTTTCTACACTAGCTTCTAAGGTAGCAAATGGGAAGAAATTTAACAGCTTGGCTGTGTGTTTGTGTGTGTAGTGTATGCATTTCTGTCTGCCTGCCTGTCTGTATAAGTATGTGTCACCATTAATGCAAACTACTTTTTTCTTTTCCCTCTGAATAAAAATGTTTTGGTTTTGAAAACAACCACCTAGGTTTGAAATTGCATTTCCCACACTGCCTGCTGTTTTTTCACCTCTGTTGTCCATCTTCCATTTGCTACTTAGAAGGAGTGAGGAACTTCACACTTCTATTTCTTTTGTTGGATTTATTTGGGGGACAATGTTGAAGTCTTAGCCAAGTTGCTATTGATCTTCTTCCAATCAACTGTAGTTAGTTTAGGAAAAGTAACCTGCTTCAAAAACAAAAACTACCAAATGAACAACCCCAATAGTCTAAAGCAATTTTGTCTTCATTCCTAACTAAGCGAATTAAGTCAATAAGTTCGCCAGTTGAATCCAGGAAGAAGAGGCAAGGAAGACAGAAGACGGATTGCAAAAATTGGTTTCTGAAAGGAGGGAAGTTAAATAAATAGGAATCTGCAACTTCAACCTGTAATATTTTGGATTTTTAAAGTAATTCTATTGCTTTTAAAATAACAATAGAAAAAGAATCAAATGTACATAAACAAACACAAAGATACATTATAAACAGAATACATGACAAATGCTTAAACAATAAGAGAAAAAATACAACAGAAAAAATACAACAGGACAAATATAATAACTATATAGGGTACAATATATCATACAACAGCAAACAGTTACAATTCTATATATAATTATATAACTAAAAATTATGCAATTTGATGCATAATTGTATACAAAAACTGTGCAGTCATATTTACAGTCAGGTCCAGAAATATTGGGACATTGACACAATTCTAACATCTTTGGCTCTATACACCACCACAATGGAGTTGGAATGAAACAAACACAATGTGCGTTAACTGCAGACTGTCAGCTTTAATTTGAGGGTATGTACATCCAACTCAGGTGAACGGTGTAGGACTTACAGCAGTTTGCATATGTGCCTCCCACTTGTTAAGGGACCAAAAGTAATGGGACAGAATAATAATCATAAATCAAACTTTCCCTTCTCAATACTTGGTTGCAAATCCTTTGCAGTCAATCACAGCCTGAAGTCTGGAACGCATAGACATCACCAGACGCTGGGTTTCATCCCTGGTGATGCTCTGCCAGGCCTCTACTGCAACTGTCTTCAGTTCCTGCTTGTTCTTGGGGCATTTTCCCTTCAGTTTTGTCTTTAGCAAGTGAAATGCATGCTCAATGGGATTCAGGTCAGGTGATTGGCTTGGCCATTGCATAACATTCCACTTCTGTCCCTTCAAAAACTCTTTGGTTGCTTTTGCAGTATGCTTTGGGTCATTGTCCATCTGCACTATGAAGTGCCGTCCAATGAGTTCTGCAGCATTTGGCTGAATGTGAGCAGATAATATTGCCCAAAACACTTCAGAATTCATCCTGCTGCTTTTGTCAGCAGTCACATCATCAATAAATACAAGAGAACCAGTTCCATTGGCAGCCATACATGCCCACGCCATGACACTACCACCACCATGCTTCACTGATGAGGTGGTATGCTTAGGATCATGAGCAATTCCTTTCCTTCTCCATACTCTTTTCTTCCCATCACTCTGGTACAAGTTGATCTTGGTCTCATCTGTCCATAGGATCTTGTTCCAGAACTGTGAAGGCTTTGTTAGATGTTGTTTGGCAAACTCTAATCTGGCCTTCCTGTTTTTGAAGCTCACCAATGGTTTACATCTTGTGGTGAACCCTCTGTATTCACTCTGGTGAATTCTTCTCTTGATTGTTGACTTTGACACACATACACCTACCTCCTGGAGTGTTCTTGATCTGGCCAACTGTTGTGAAGGGTGTTTTCTTCACCAGGGAAAGAATTCTTCGGTCATCCACCACACTTGTTTTCCATGGTCTCCCAGGTCTTTTGGTGTTGCTGAGCTCACCGGTGCATTCCTTCTTTTGAGAATGTTTCAAACAGTTGTTTTGGCCATGCCTAATGTTCTTGCTATCTCTCTGATGGGTTTGCTTTGTTTCTTCAGCCTAATGATGGCTTGCTTCACTGATAGTGACAGCTCTTTGGATCTCATCTTGAGAGTTGACAGCAACAGATTCCAAATGCAAATAGCACACTTGAAATGAACTCTGGGCCTTTTATCTGCACATTGTAATTGGGGTAATGAGGGAATATCACACACCTGGCCATGGAACAGCTGAGAAGCCAATTGTCCCATTACTTTTGGTCCCTTAACAAGTGGGAGGCACATATACAAACTGCTGTAAGTCCTACACCATTCACCTGAGTTGGATGTACATACCCTCAAATTAAAGCTGACAGTCTGCAGTTAACGCACATTGTGTTTCTTTCATTCCAACTCCATTATGGTGGTGTATAGAGCCAAAGATGTTAGAATTGTGTCAATGTCCCAATATTTCTGGACCTGACTGTATATAACTAATATTTTGTGATATTATGAAGATGGCCAGCCAACAAAAGATAATCAGAAGTAAAAATTCAGAAGATATTTTGCAGTACTGGAACTGGGAAAGAGCTTTTAGGCCCTTGCACAAGAAATAAGCTCCAAGCTTTCAGGAGACTTAAAAAAGATCATGGGGAACAGGAAATTGGATGAGGCATCTGTGAAGAGCAGAGAGGATGCAGCTGCATCTACAAAAATAAAAGAAATAAAAAATAAGAATTCTGATGGTCAGTGTCTCTTATGATAGACCAAAACAAAAGTATGCTGACTTGGCTTGCAAAGTGTGCTGATTGTCTAGAAGAAGGATATTTCAAAACAAGTTCCAAAACTGCAGAAAAAACAACGGCTACCAACCTGCCTTCCATTGAGGACCTGTATTCTGCACGAGTCAAAAAGAGGGCTGTGAAAATATCTACAGACCTCACATCCTCAACATAAATTGTTTCAACTTCTACCCTCAAAACGATGTTATAGAGCATTGCATACAAGAACAACTAGACACAAGGACAGTTCCCCCCTCCTCCCTGCATGCCATCACTGTGCTAAAACAACTAATTCCAACAACATTCAAACTATTTACTAAGACTGTATTGCTATTATTCTTCTCATCCTTCCTATTACCTATCTCCTTCTACTTATGACTATAACCTTTTGATTATATTGTTTTATTTAGTTTCCTAGTATGATTTTGATTGCTTATGACTATCACTAAGTGTTGTATCTTATGATTCTTAATGAATGTATTGTTTATGTACACTGAGATCTTATGCATCGAAGACTTGTGTGTCCAACCACAATTGGCCAATAAAGAATTCTATCTATTCTATCTAAAATGTAGCAAGATTACAGATAATCCACATTGGAATAAATATTTGGCAAAAAAACAAACGAACAAAATTGTTATCAACATGGACAGTGAAGTCCTGGAAATTCAGGTCTATTTATGGAATGGAGATGTAACTAAAAAGAGATCAGACTGGATTGAGTAAGATAAAATAGGACAGAAAAATTAAAAAATCTTGTTCACTTTCTCCTAGACAAGGATTTTTTTTTAATGCAAAAGTCTTCATCTGCTTTTATGGTAGAATCCTTGGGAAATGAAGGAAGGAACAAAGCAGCAAAGTAGACATTACTTTAACAAGATTGTAGCTTCCCCTCTGATCACTGACACAATCTAATAAACCTTGAGAGAAGATTCCTATCTTACTATAGCTGAAACCTATAAATCAAGATGTGTTTGTTTTTCCTGGTAATGGGCATGGTTTGATGAAGAGGGAATCTTCAAAACCCCTTTTGGTTTTCAAGTGAAACCAGTCTGGTATTCAGCACGTTGAATAATCTGAGGAAGTTCATCCTGTATGGGGCTGAAAGGCAAGTCCAAGATATCTATGGGACAGGTAGGAATATATGACCTAGTATCTATGCATATCACTAGGAAACTTCTTTTTCTATTTAATGTCCAATCATCTTCTATTTCAACTTGAACTTCTAATGCT